GCTCTACCACAAGGGTAAAAGCCAGCTTGCCTTACTCACCTGAGTCCCAGCTGGGAAATTTCCCAGAGGACGGGCAGGATTTAGCAATACACTGTCTACTGAGTATCATAATAGCTCAAAGGGAGAACTGAGCTGACCAGAGGAGGAAAGGTACACAGGTTTCTAAAGAGAGTTGAAAAGTTGTCCTCTTTATGTTTCTACTTCAAGAGCATGAAGAGAAGCGTTGGCTGCTGTGGGGTCAAAGCCCAAACTCCAAAACAAGGTCATCTGCTCAATGGTGGCTTCAGCACTGAGCCACCTGGAGTTGCCATGCGCACTGAATTTTGTTTGCGAAAACACAGTTATTTTTACAGCAGTATCAGCTAGGTCTTCCATTCCCAAGTCAGGCCTCTGGGAAAGCTGCTGTTACAGACACAGAGAAACTAGACGGTTGCCAAGCGTGGCGCTGCCATCACCTTTGGTTGCCCCCGAGGTGTGCACAGACACGTGGCTTGCCACGTCGGGATGCCAGCTCCTGCTAGCTCCGAAAGAGAACAAATTGCCTCCAGAAGTATCTTTCTAGTAGCTGATCAATGCAGAGAGGAGAGCAATCACCACTGCAGAATAGTTCCTCCAAATGCCTGCACTGATTGCACCATGCTCAGAGGAAGATGAGAAACTCCACTTAGCCTCCAATCACTTGACAAGAAAATCATTGGAGAATTGCTTGGGCAGGTAAACTTGTGATCTACATAAACTTGGCTACCTTTGTCAATTAGTTTTAATTAAATTTGAGTAAAAAGCTGTGAACGTGGATTTTTGCAAAGGCTTTTGTTTCCTATGAAAAAATTATCAATTCTCTAGGCAATAGCTGGGCTGCATTACAACGTAAGTAGTGAACCATCAGCTAAAATAAATGCTATTTGTGAATGCACAGAGGTATGTTCAAAGTTGACGAAGGGAAAGGTCACAATCAAATAAAAATGTCAATATTAAAAAGAATAAAAAGAACTAGAACATACTATAATAGTTTTGCCAAAAATAATCCAATTACTTCTTCCACAAGCTTATTTTTACAAGCTATGTAAAAAGCAGAAAGCCACAGCCCAGACATCCTGTGTCCAGCTCACACTTTTGAAATTCTTCCCTCAGAAGGCAATAAAGGTATCGCTGAAGTCAAGACTTTACCTGAGTACATTTATTTATTTATTTTCTGGTATTTTATCTGTCTCTAACATCTGTAATCTTGTCCACACCTTGCAGCTGGCTAAAACTGGCTGCACTCATTTTAATGTGTCAAAGCAGGCGCACGCAGAGGTTCTTGGAAAGGAGAGTCTTACAACCTTCTGAACTCATTACCTGCTTTTTTCAGCTTGGCTCCATTTCAATGCACTTTTTTTGTATGCAAATATTTAATTAATTTGTGATTCAGCTCTGAAAAACAGCTGCAAAAGTAGCAGGTTCTGCAAATGAATTACATTGGCAGCTCCACGGTCACTTGTGAGATCTCACCACTACAACTGTATTTGGGTCTCACTGGATTTACGTGCCAACAGCCCTTTCCTTCCGATAGTATGGGATCTAGAGGCTTTAGGAGTGATGAAAATGAATATTTCTTCTTCTTACTGAAACACAGTGAGCAGAAGGTGAGGCTGAATACAGAGAACGGATCGCAACAGGAACAGAGAAATGTTAGGAGATGCCTTTTTTTTTTTTTTTGCAGGGATCTGACCAAATAGACCTGAAATTCAGCATTTAACAGGCAGTTAAAATGCTCAGAAACATTTCCTAAGAACCTCTTCAGATAGGACAGGCAGAACCAGGGCAAACCTAATAACCATTATTCATTTAGCTGCACCGGATCACTGAACTTTAACATTGGTTCTTCAACAAGGATGTCCCCACATCCAAACACTTATCTCTCGTTATTAACACAGCAATTGCTGACAAATGAGCCACACTGCCGTAAAAAGTGTAAAATACAAGCAGTTTGGGTTCTTTAAAGTAAACACTACCTAGCTGTCTACATTAATGGAGTGAGCACGTTATCTAAGTAGATTAGATCATGTCATATTTACAACCTCAGTGCCCTGAACGACAGAAGTTGCTCAGCTGTTACTGTCAGTGCCTTCCTCAAAAGGAACCCTGCTGACAAGATGATGAATTCAGACCATCGTTGCCAATTAATGATTTGTAGGCAGAAGGGATTTCAATAGTTCCCATATGTTTCTGAGGGTGACTGGGATTTACATTGCCTCTAATAAAAAGGGTAGTCTACCTTGTCCAGACGTGACACTAGAGCTTGGAAAATGTCATCTTGGTGGGCTAAATTTTAATAAACAAAGCCAGACTCTTCTGGGTTGGAAATGCACCATTTCCCAAAGCACTGTCAGGAATAACCTGCTTAAGGGTATATGAAAGCTAAGCAGGAGATGACTTGCAAGATGTGCCTAAATGATTTACAAACCAAAGGTCAGAAGTCATTCAGCTGTTTGTCACGGCTGCACTGCAGAGTGCTGAAACCATTGTTATGCCATCCAGGAACATGAAGTGCATTCCCTGAGCACCACTCAGGCTAGGAAAGAAAACATTGGTACCAATGCAAATCACAGACACACGCACAACACCTTCCCCAGTGTAACCTTCTCTGCTTATGGGCTGCTAAGTTAACTATCCCAGGGAAAAAAAAATTACAGAACAAAACCAACAAAAACAACACACTAAAACACACTCATCTTTGCAAGTATAGCAAATTCCAAACCAGAAAACTCACACGGGGTGTCAGTATGAGCTTCACAGCTGCTGCATGCAAACCATCCAAATGTCCTAAGGCTAATGTCTCCTATCGACTGAGCATCTCAGAGAGCCAACCAGCAGCAAATACTTGGCACAGTGACCTCAGTTAAACATGAGGTATCCAAAAGGGGCCCTAAAAGGGACTTTGCCATAGGCACTTATAGCCCAGCATTCTATTGATTTCGGGGTGGAATCTGGGGCTTTTAAGAGTTCTGGTGTAACCAGAATAACCTTCTGCCTAGGGTTCAGGCTGTTAAGTATAAAAATGGTTTCTACCACTACACCTTACCACAGACGGACTAGGTTACACCACCCCAAGACCACTTTTACAACTCCAAACTACATCTGCACTCCTAATCAACACAGCCAGATCAGGTGATAAGGTGCTCTTCTCCCAAGATACTTTAAAAAGAAATTAAAAGCAGAATTTCAAATCGCATGGGTTTTCTGAGAGCATACTCCATGTCAGCAGTGCTAGAGATGCTGCTTCTTTACCGGCCCAGCCCAGATCTTCAAAATAGATTCGTGTCTCTAGTTCCGTCCTGTAACTCTTTGGGACTGCTTAAGGCCAAAGCCTAGGGACTCTGCAGCCTGTTCAAGTGGCATAAGAGGCAGGATTTGAGAGATAACTAATGGATGTACCCAGGTTGCTCCCAAAACACTCAGAAGGTGACTGAAGGTAGTGCCTACACTCGGCACTCAAACAGTGCATACTACCCGGGGACACAGTATTTTTAGCTACAAAGGAAGGTCCTTGCCAATATATCCAAATGTTGTAGATGAGGGAGGTAGGTCGTGATGTCCTCAGTTTGGGATTACTGTCATCTCTGTTCTCCTTATTATGGCATCGAGCACCAAGTCAGACGCATCTTAACCCACACGTGGAAGAGAGATCTTTATTGGCAGAAGAACAGCAAAACCAGGACAGATTTTTCAGGATCTGTTAGATATCTACTCAGAAAAAAGTAAAACATTTCAGTCAAAAAACACGCTCTGTATGATACTAGAGAATGTTTCTCTGGAAATAGATATACCTACAACCTTCTCTCCTAATCACTTCTTAAAGAGACTTGAACCTTAAGATCTTCAGGGGAACGATTAGTGGCTGAGGTCTAAAGGATCAAGGCCACAGTTTACTTCGAATATGAGCTGACCTTTTCCATGCATCAACACTAGGAATGGCAAGTAGGAGCAGTGACGGAGGTGAAAATACAGCACTGCCTTCAATCAAAGCAGAATCGCTCTGCTTCCCTCAAGAGCCATAGGTTCTTTTTCACAAAGTATCTGCAAGTGCAATGCAGTAAGACGGGATTTACAACCAATAAATAATTATTTTCCAAAAAACAACCTATATTCAAATCTTTTCTTTTTTTGTGCCTATACAGGCTTTCTTCTAAGCTACTCACTGCAAAGCAGAAGTGCAAATTTCACACACAAGTGCAGCAAGGTGTATTCCAAGTGCATAACTTTAATTTATATCGGGCTTTCTTAAAAAGCCTTCTTTCTTTTTAAGTTTCAAGCTTCAGATATCTAAATTTCTTGCTAGGACTCTAATGATTCAGGAGATCTATTCTGACCAGCAATTCCAGAAATCTTGGCTGGCTACTTGTGTATTAACTTCAGCACACATGGAAGCATTTGCATGACTGGGGATTTAGATTTAACTCTGAACAGCTGAGCATTTTTGCATTAAAATATTAACCAGAGTGGAAAATAAAAATCAATTCACACCATATCAAAATCTTTTTTTCTCATAAACGGAGAGAAATACATGTTCCTATACATTATTAAAGCAAAACATACCTTGCCTATGGAAATTAAATTCAAACATTCCCTGCAATAGTCTAGAAAAAAGAAAACGAGTTTCTGGAATTCATGGGGAAATCCAGCGCTGTGTATAAAGAATGTTAGGCTTCAAACAACAGATGAGACTGCAATTCTGTAATGGATCTGTCAGTGCACCACTCCACAGGTGATACTGATGTGCCAAATTCCCATAATCCACATCTGAATCACTGGCAGGTCCTGTTACATCCGGCTAAGGCCTTGTCACATTACCATGGCCATTCAGATGGACCTCAATCGATGCGAGAATCCAGTCTCAGCACCACTAGGTGTAAAATACAGATGTAACAGCAGGCAACAGGAGGGTGCAAAGGGAATCAAGCCAGGACCATGTGTCACCCCAATGGCATTGGCACCGCTCCCTCCCCACCAACCCTTACCTTGGCAGGTGTTGTTCTTCTCCTCGTACCCTGCCTTGCACAAGCACTTCCCGATGGGCACCAGCCACTCCCCCTCGGCGCTGCAGTGCATCTTCGGAGCCTCGTCGGTCACCGAGTGGTTGACGCAGACGCCTGACACTTCCAGCAGCTGCGAGGAATCCGCTCCCGTGATGGTGTCAGGAAAGCGGGCCAAGTTGCGGATCACTGATGGGCATTTTTTGTAGTACACGCGCACTGAGACCAGGGCAATGCAGGCACCGACATCCTGGAAAGCGAGGTAAAACCCCTTTTTGGTTAGAGGCCCAACATCTCTCACCTCTGTGTTTAGCTTCATAACTCTGTCTCCAAGGTCCAACTCAGTGAAGCTCTCATCAGCAGCAATAGTATCGATCTTGATGTACTGATTTTCTTTGATGTTCCTCCCATCTTCGTCATCTGATTCAAAGTAGTACATGTTAAAAGTTTCTTTGCAAGTCCCAAGCCCTCCTGGAAGGCTATTACAGTCCCTTAGGGTAAATTTGAGCTCTATGAAGATCCGGGATGCCCCTTCATTAGAGATCCAGCTGGTCAGAAGCCAGTTGTTCTGATTCTGTTCCATTACTTTGCATACTTGGTATGTGTGTATTGGAGCATAGTTTTCATCCACCTCACCAATTTCTTCCCACTGTGTAAAAAGAAAAGGTATTACTTTAAAAACTCAAATGAAGTCTTAGTTTTCCCATAGAAGGGCACCTTGGGATTTGGAGGTTAAGGAGAATGTTAAGGGGAAAAAAAAAATCTAACGGCAAGTTCTTCCATACTGTAGACTTGATATACTCCTGACAAAGTCAAGATTTATATATATATAAATACATATCTTCTCTTTCAGACATTTCAGAAATGGGAAAACACACTGTTGGATTTTTCCCCTGCTGCTTAGACTGACAAAACAAAAGCAGATGGGGGCATGAGCTCGCCTTTTCCAATGCGTCCACATAGGAGAACAAAGCTATTTACAGGCTCTGTCCATACTCATCCTGCCCCAGTTCCTTTCCACATCCTTATGTTATCACTGCCTAGCACAGTCCCTCCAGGCTGCTCTCCTGCCTTGAAGAGACCAACAGAAAATCAGCAGAGCGGCATTCGAAATCAAGAGGCCTTTACTCCCAGAGACCTGGTTAGAAGACTTCCTGCATATGCAGATAGCAGAATATTTCTAATAAAGGAGTTACAGTGAAGAACAGGAGTACAGATCTTGAGCTGTTTCTGAGCTTGGTATTTGAGTTTTTAGGGGAAGTGTAGCAACTGTTTTGTTCATTCTTATATTTGCCACATTTGGAAGCACATCACTAGGAAGAAACACTGTTTCTCAGTCCAGCACCTAGGAGTAAGTTGCACTGCAACAGTGTCCACAACAGCAATATGCAACATTAATCTTTCCTCTTTGCTTTGGAGAACTCAAATGTCACACTGAGGGATCAGATTAACCCACCGAATACCGGAACTCTGCAAAAACAGAGACTGTTTCACTTTTGTTCCTCTCTATTTTTGGCCTGCTCACCATTAAGGGCTGAATTCCAAAGATCTCTTCCATCCTCCCAGTGCTTCTACTCAACTTTGTCGCTTGCTCCTAATTAGGGCTGTGAATGCAGCATAAAGAAGAATATAAAGTTGCTCAAGTACAAGGTGATAGCTGTATTCCAAGCTCAGTGTTTGGTAACACTAAAGACCAAGGTGGTTATTGTCAATGTAGTCTCAGAGTAAGTCAACAGTCTTCTCAAACCCGCTATCACTACTGTAACATTCTCAGAGCCAACGGAATGATGAGTTTTGTTCATGGAAATGTTTAATTTTAAATGAAAAAGCAACAAGTGATATGAAAACATAATGTGACTGTGAATGCCAGCCTCAGGAAAGGATTTCCTCTATTCCACTTGGGCCTCTTCCTTGACTTGGCAAGTGGAAGTCAAGACTTACATGATTTCCAGAAAAAAACCTGCCTGCTACGATGCACAGAGTTCACATCCACCACTCATATGCCGAGTAAGAAACTCAAACTGAAGAAATTTTTCTCATGCTAAACTGTATTATCATCTAACAAAAGCATTAAGATTTCTCTAGGCTTAAAAGGGCCTTGACACTACCTTTGTGAACAGGAGCACGTCACACCAGCCATCTTGGCAGCCCAGCAGACTAAACTTAGAGAAGTCTTTGCAGGACTCTCTCCAAGTGAGGCAGTTATAAGAAATAGCTCTAACAACAAAGACACTATAAATCCAAAGTTTGGATAAGGTTTGGCAAACCTCCATATGATGAGGAGGGTGTCTCTCCATCCTGCCCTCCTCAGTTAGGGATGCAGGTGAGTACTTCCCAGTACAGCCCAGGAGACACTCAGATGATCTTAGCAGCCTTCAACCTTTACTCCTTTTGAGTGAAGATTAGCGAATCACTTGAAAAAACAGGTGCAGTTAAAGCTCCTGTAGTTAAAGCAGTTAAAGCTCCAAGATGAGTTAAGCTCCAGTAGAAGGTGGTGAAAAGCATTTATACACTGGAAAACACTCAGCCTGAAGAATTTTTGGGAGAGTGTGTATGGATAATTGATTCTGCCCCTCTCCTCAGCTCTGGTGAGGCTGCACCTGGAG